CTTTAAAATGTATAAATTACGATTGTCATGAATTGTGTAACGTGTTTCTATTTTTAGGTACATTTCCCCCTGTTAATTCCGTTGGCTGTAAAAAAATATATATATAAATCTAATACTGTACTGCAATTTGATTGGTTAATATGGTGTTTTTATGTAAATTTTAAAAAATACAGAAATAGAGGGGGTCATGTTAAAACATAAAATCAATTTGGAGCGGCCTAACCGCAATAACGAAAATACATATGCACACGGTTATTTGCAATACAAGAGGTTATTTGACTCACTGTGTACTTACGCACGCACGCACACACGTGTATAAATGATAAACTAAGGTAATAAATAAGCCAAGAAAATTATATTTGGAGAGAATTATTCTTCAAAAACTAACACCGTATTAATGATCTTAACAAGTTCAGACATTATATATATATATGTCATGATATGAATTTTCGCATATGGCATCAGTTTTACATGAAAAATCAGATAATAACGATAATGGATCAGTTTTGTGTTACGTACGCTAAATTATAATCTTATCCAAATTATATACAAATTTATGTGAAGCTATCAACTCAAAAGTGATGCTTAGTATCTAATTACAACTAGTTTCCAAGTTAATTTGAACGGTTTTGATTTGAGTGTATTCCTTCAATGCATATTTGCCCATTTCACGACCAATTCCAGATTGCTTGTATCCTCCAAATGGACTGTATATATGCAAAATATAGTTGGCAATAACAATAACGATAATAATAATCATATGACAGGGTAAAACCCACTATAAATTCTTTAAACACGTCATGTAATCACAGTATAAAATAATTTTAAAAATACCTATCGAATTGTTTTTTAGATATTTGAGGCCCTTGATAAGTTTTACTTTCAAACGGATCGCCAATTTTAATAGCTTCAGTATTTGCTTTAAATTTCTTAAGAAATTTATCATAAACGCATTCCTCAACGTAAATACGGGTAGCAGCACAACAACATTGACCGTGGTTAAAAAAACTTCCGTTATGAGTAAATTTGACAGCAGTATCGAGATTAGAATCAGCGAATATGATACTTGGTGACTTTCCGCCTAATTCGAGCATAACCCTTTTCAAGAACTCTACCAGGGCGGCCTTCAAAATTACGGGTCACATGTGAAGCGCCATTGCCGCAGTTGCATGAGATCGCGAAAAAAATTACTGTATTGTTTTTTTTACCGTTACAGTATAACAACCTTGATATTACGAACAAAAATGTATAACGAAATAAATTTTCAGGTTACTGTATGTTTTATTTAGCTCGATATAATGAAACCATTAGTAAGTTTGAATATAACAGA